AGTGCAACCAAATCTGCTGACTTTTAATGCTTTACTGAAGACTCTGAGAAGATGTGGTGGTGTAGGCAGAAGTATGTCTTTATCGGTAATAAAGGAAATGGAAGCGCTTGATATAGGTAAGAGAACCAGAATGGTTATATTTCAGTGTCACTTCCAGAATGACTAACTTAAGAGTTCAGCAGCAAACAACACAGTGATTCCTAGTTTCAGGGAAGAAGTCCAAGGCTTGTGGAAAAAAGCATTTCTCGCTGTGTTCTCAGCATCGCTCTTTGTTTCCTTTTGCAAGAGAACTGAGAAATAAAAGGCGTAAGCACTGAACTGTGGTCACTCAGCAAGCCAGCGTGTGCCGATTTCAAATTCAATCATCATCTTCAGAGTCTTTGTTCAGTGTTGATTACTAATTACAATATACTCTGTGCACTTAGCCCCTTAGGTCAAATAATAAAGCATTTTGATTCTGTGGTCTTTTAGGTTAGGAGGATGTTTATCATTACATTTTTACCTGTAGTTACCTCTAGCTATTCAAGGATAGGCGTGTGTATGTAGTGGGGGAGTGTGTCCTGGCCCATTGGGTCCTTATTGTAGTACTGCTGTAGAAATCATGAATGATCTGAATATATATTTGCAGCAGTCAGCTGAGTCTGTTAGCTTCCCATAGATCAAGAAGATTTACTTCACAAGCCATTCAAGCCAGTTCAGGTCTCTACATCTACATCTCTACAGGAAAAAAAGCTTTTGATCTAGATGATGGTTTTTGATGTCAAGTAAACATTGCAAAAACACAGAATGTTGGCATAGCTGGTTTGTTGTCTTGTGGAGTGTGCTTTGCCCTAGTAACATGCTTGCTGGTACACCAAAGATAGGTTCATGAGCAGAATGGAAGACTAGTTATGTTAGAGCAGGGAAGCTTAGCTGTTCGCCCCATAGCAACATGGTGCTTCAGCGGGTGGTCCACCCTCAGATGTCGTCTCTTCCAGTTGTGCATGAGGTCTGGTCCAGCATTAGGGTGGACGACGAGAGAAATGATAGAGTAAATTTATGCATGCTGCCTTACTGGAGGGGCTGGAGACTGTGAATTGGAGCTCAGGCATAAAGCTCAGCCAAGAATGTCAAAGTAACTTCAATGTTTTTGCTTTTCAGAGCCTAGCCTTGCAACGTATGATCATCTTCTCTCTATATTTTATAGAGGCGGTATGTGCAATATCAACTTGTCCTTGAATGTGTCCTGTTTAACATCTGCTTTAAATGCTTTCCAAATGTGATGGGTAAAGGCAGTTGATTTATGGATTAAAAGACAACCTCTTACGTGTGCAGTCCTAGTGTTACCTAGTCTGAGTCTGCTTGGGTAAAGAAAAAGCTACAGAGGATCATAACCTCTTACAGGGAGGGGAGAGTCCTTGGGTTTTGGGAACGGGAAGAACTGGAAAGCCTGTTTGCTTTCCATTTGTGGCCACAAGTTGATAAAGCTAAAGCGTAAATGCTACTCAGATCCAGTAGAGGCTGGATCTGACTACAGTGTAATGGGATTTCATAGTCTGTGCCGCTCACAGGGAAGAAATTGCACAGGGATTCTGTTTTTCTGCAACAATTCTGTGCATTTGAGCTGTCTTGAAATACAGCTGTGTTAGAAGGCAGGAGCCGGGCTGTTGGAGATCCTTTAGCCAAAAATATGTAGGCATGGGAAGAGAACAGACACAGTAGTCATAACTGCAGTCCTTGTGTTACAACAAATGTGGAAGAGCTGCTTTGGAGTCTCTCTGGGTTTTTTTTTCTGTTTATGAAACACATTGCTTTTCCCAGTGCCACATTCTAACAGACAAACTTGCAGGCCTGTGAGATTCTTTGCTAGAATGTATTTGTGTCTTTCTGAATCTGCCCTGTTATGCTGTAGAAATGTGGCAATAGTAGGGCAAATTTTAGTGCAAATAAAATTGCAGCTGGTGTGGAGCACCACAAGTAGGGGTACAGATAGGAGAATCATGACATTTGTTTGAAATCGTGGTGCTTGTTTTCATTTCCATAGTATATTTGCAAGCTGAGGCTTTTTACTAATGAAGTGCATAATAAAACGGAGATGTGATGTTACTTGTCTGTTTGTCCTGCAGTTGATCTTTACCCATCAGGCATCATCTCTGAGGTGCTAGATGATGTTGGAAAGAGGAGCTTCACACCCCAGGACCCTGATGACGGTATGAACTTCAGTATATCTGATAATCTGCTTTGTTTAAGTTTGGGTGAAAAGGTACCTAGGGAATTTCAGGTAGTTCTACCCAGCTTGCTTATATCAGTCCCTCCTGATACTTTTTGGAGGCAAAGAAGGAGAAATTCCAGTGCCGGGAAGGCGTGCTATGCATTGGGGCACTGGCTTCTATGCAGGAGTAGGAGCGTACCCAATGTGAATGAGTCTCACACCATAAAAACCACAAGGCTGTTTACAAGACTAGTTTAAGGGGGCACATCTCCTAGGAGTGCCATGAAATGATACATGTCTGGTGAACAGCAGGTTTTTGTTGTTGTATGGTTTGAGTTCCTATTCTAGTTCTTCCTAATGCTTTTCAGAAAATCACGTGAAATAAAACTTCATCCAAAACTGAAGCCTGGGTCTGTAGAAGGGGTAGATTCTGAACATCCATGTCTCACTGGCTCTTTCTGCCATCTGTATGTAAACGGCTTTGCTGAAGGATGTTCATAAGCCTTTCTGTACATACAAAAGTAGATGCAGCTTCAGTGTGAAGATGGGTGTGGCAAAGAGGGGTCTGTAGCTGTGCTGTGTACAACGTGGTGTTAACAAAGTGTCGGAAGCCACTCTAGCAGCTGGCAGTTCTGTATGTGATAGGGTGAAGAAGCTATTGCAGTGCATGCTTCAGGAAACCAGTGAGGAGTTGATACGGTTTTGGCCACTTAAAGGACGAAGATAGATTAAGAGATGATATGTTGGTTATGTTAGGTTATCCTACCAGCAATTTTTTTTTGTCCTTGGAAAGAAGCCTGGAAATAGCCAGAATGTTGTACACCTCTTTTATTTGCTTCTGCCCTGCAATGTGTGTTATACAGTTCCTTGCCCTGGCTTTAAACTGCTGCCAGATTTGTAGACAATGATTGTACCTGCTCTGCTCTTTCACACTCTTTATAGAAATACTACTGTTAGCAAAGACAGGGATGATAGGCACGCAGATACAGGTCTTGGCTGAATCACGGGAGTTGAATGACTTTTTCTATATAGTGGGTTTTTTTTAAAAAAAAAAAAAGATTGCTCACATAAGACTAGAGCAAAGCCATTTTGTCCAAGCAGGGTATGTATGTAGACATTTTCTGCTCTTCTTCAGTATGGGATCCTTACGCTGTTTTGTTAATTGCTTTTGCAGAATTTAGGTTGGCACTGAACAAAACTGAGGCTTTTTTTTCCTTAGTGTGTTGTTGTATGTGAACTGACTTTTACCTTCAGAAACCTCTGTCTTCCCTGCAAGGCCTTGCCTTGGCCCAGAGGATTCTGTAGGCTGTAGCTGAAGTGTATACTAAACACCCAAATAACACAAAAATGTTTTTTCTGACTTAAAAGTATTTAGTTAATTTATTAAAACTTGCAAGGGAAAGAAGGGTGTGTTGTCTCAAAGCATTTGACACTGTCCCACACGACATCCTTATCTCTACAATGAAAAGAAGTGGATTTGATGGATGGACCACTGTATGTTCTTGGTCAGCTCTGGGGTGTGCTAATGAGGTGGGTAACCTGTCTACCATCTGACCAGAGAATGTAGCTTTTGTAAAACTTCTAAAGTCAAACAGATCGTCTGCTTAAATCTGCCTCCAAAAACACAGCAGTATAGTTGCCTCCAGAACACTGGCTAGCAAAACTCATACCACACCAAAGTCTCTACAGAGAAAGTGAAGATCCTTGCTACCTTGTCAAACTGAGCTACAAATTCAGCTTTCTAATGGAATGTGTCTTGCCTGTCCTCTGAGAGGCTGGGTTAGTGAGCTGCTGTGTCTCCTTGAAAGTTTGAAGCTAACAGACTCCATTTTCTCCCTTTCAGCTAACTTTTTTACCACCGCTATGCAAGCGGTAAGTACCTCTTTGCTGCAGTTAGAATTCCTTTGAGCCCTCCAGCTGTTTCAGAATTGCCTGTGAGTTTTCCAACCTGTCATACAAGGTTCTGTCCATTTTTCACCAGTGTTCATCACCTCCTGTAACTTTCCTCCATAATTCTGCAGTTCTTTGCTTGATACCTCCTAAACCGGTAACTTGCGTGCCAGGGATATGTGCATCTCTTGCTAGAGAACTGCGTAAGCCCCTGTCTTCTGTGCCCTACCTCCTGCTCCTAGTAACACTGCAGTGGTCAGACAGTCTCCGCACCAGAAAGTGTCAGTTTAGGTTAAAAAGCTTTTGCCCACTGGGAGAGTTGTGCATTTCAGCTAAACAAAATGCCTTGGCAGTCACTGCTTTCTGTTAAAAATGTTTGCTGTCAGCTCATTACTCTTCATACCTCTGAAAGTCTCTGAGGGATGTATTGTTATATTTAATAGCTTTAAAATCTGACTGGTTTATTGTAGTGCTGTGATCTTAAGGATATCAAGCTTGCGTATCGGTTAAATAAAGCAATGGAGAAGGGAGACAACTGGAAGTTCTTGGACGTGGATCGGTTAAATGCCTACTGGTGAGTGAAGTGCAGCTTACATTCAACGTCTTGTGTGTTGTTGTCAATCTGAATACAAACTAGGATTCAAACATTGCGCAGAAGAATGCTTTGTTGAACATCTGTTGGCTGTTTTATGTGCCATTTGAGACAAAGTCCTTAAGAACAGTCATAGCTCAGGATTTATTTTCAGTTTGTGGCTTTGCCCAAACTGAAATAAAGTGTCTTGGAGTATCACTTTAGCTTCTTCCCCATCCAAGAAATATACCAACCAGTTGTATTTTCTACAATCCCGTCGTCCACTTAGGATGGCAGCTGAGGAGGTAACACCAAAATAGCGTTGCGGTCAGACCTATAGATGTTTTTCTTAGTCAGTGCATTGGATCAAGGTCCCAGGCTTGTATTGCAAACTTGCACAAATAACCAGGTTACTTTAGTTCACTTCTTAAAGTGGTTCTTAACCAGAGGTTCTATTTGAGAGAGATTCAGATACCTCAAACCTGGTATCAGCCAGGGAGTTTGCATTTTTTTGAGATTTTAAAATGTGGTGGTCCATTTCTTACTAATTCTTCCAGTTAACTTGTGTCAGCATTAAGTTCTCTCATAAAAACCGCTACTGCTTTTTTAATTGTATGGAGCATTAAAATCATGCAGGGAAGTTTCCCTGATCTGCGATACAAATCTGATCAGAACACCATCATTTGCTGGTGCTTCTGTACGTTTCTAATCATTACTGAATTAGACCGTTTTTCCCCTCCTGTAGGTCAAAATTCTTTTCATTGTTGTGTATGATGGAACAAATTGATGTTGTGTTGAAGTGGTACAAAGAAATGTCTCCTTCGGTAAGTGCGTATTAGGGTAAGCAAGCTTGTAAGCTGTAGTATGGAGAAATGGCACCGTTACAGTTCACTGAAGAGATTCTCTTCCTTCTTCAGCTCTTCTATCCAACTCCTAAAAATATATTGGACCTCCTTCAAGCACTGGACACAGCCAACCACTTGGAAGTGATCCCTTCAGTCTGGGAAGGTTAGTGATAGGCACGTGGTGGCTACGTAGGCAGTTTGTTTGATAAAAGTCAGGAGGAGCGTGAAGTGGGAGGTAGTTGGGAGATTTCCCAGTGCTTAGAACAGCCACGGTAAGGTGCTTTGGCATGAGGGATGTTACTCCTTAGTGCGGTGCTGGGGCTGTTGTATTAGAGAAAGGCAGAACCAATAGCATAGACTATTGGAGAGACCATAGTTAAATGTCAGTGTCTTGGAAAACTGAATACTTACCAGAGAGCAGTACCTTAATCAACAGCCTAGGTTTTAGTCATTTTAATTATCTGCCTGTTCTTTGCAAAGGAGGAGACGAGTCCCCCTTAAGAAGAGGAGACAAGAATGCAGATACAGGCTTTAGCACACAGAAAATATCCTACTGTTGCCCAGCACTGAGGGGACAGACAGGTTCTTTTAGGGATCCCTGACAGAATGATGACAGCACTAAGGTGTGGTTACAATTAAAGCTTTATTTTCCTCACAGGATTTTATGATTAGCATAGCATAGAACTTCTGACTAGAATAGCACAGGATTTCTATAAGCAGAATCAGTGTAGTACAGTTTTATAAGTAGCATAGCACGCCACTTAGCTTTTGGTTTCTGATCACCCTCTGCAGATCAGGTCAAATCTTAATACTTGGTTTGCTGTATCAACATAAAAGTCGTACAAAACATACAAAAGCTTACAAGTCACCACTCAGCCCTCAGAGGAAGCAGACAATGGTGGAGGTGTCCCTGGCCACCAGGATGTTACAGTTCTGATGTCCAGCAGCAATTCAAGTTCCCATTTAGGACCTGTAACTGCTTGATTTTATAGATGGTGCTCTGTGTGCTGTTCCCTTCCTTTTCTGTGATGAGGTCATCACCACCACCATGTTGGCCGGGTGCCTGAGACCTTGAAGGCCATTATGGAGGGGAGTAGTCGGCCTGGTGCCCAGGAATCCTGAGGCCAGCAGGGAGCAGAAGAAGAAATCTGTTTGGTTCATCTACTTGGTGCATGAGGGGAAAGGGAACAGATATGTGACCTGCTCGGTGACAGAGAATGGCTGTTTGCCTTATAAAATGGCATTAGTTATACTAACCATATTACCAGGAGTTGGGAGCAGGGGCCACTGGGCACACCTACTACCTACTGCCTTTCTCTAAACAGATATGAAGCAACTGGGGTTTAATAGGAGACATGACCTGTTGGAAGAGCTCTTGTCTTTGATGAGCAGGGACCAGCACCCTGAAGAGGTAAGGAAGCTGTTGTGGTTTAACCTTAGTAAGCAGCTAAGTACCACACAGCTGATCACTCTCCCCCAGTGGGATGGTGGAGAGAATTGGACATGTAGAAGTGAGAAAACTCGTGGGTTGAGATAACGACAGTTTAATAGGTAAAGCAGAACCTGTGTGCCCAAGCAAAGCGAAACAAGGAATTCATTCATCACTTCCCATGGGCAGGCAGGTGTTCAGCCATCTCCAGGAAAGCAGGGCTCCATCATGTGTGACGATTACTTGAGAAGTCAAACTCCATCACTCCGAATGTTCCTCCCTTCTTTTCCCCCAGCTTTTATTGCCGAGCATGATGCCATATGGTACGGAATATCCTTTGGGTCAGTTGGGGGTCATCTGTCCCAGCTGCGTCCCCTCCCAGCTTCTTGCTTGTCACACCTCCTACCTCCAGTCTACTTGCTGGTGGGGCGGTCTGAGAAGCTAAAAAGGCCTTGAGGCTGTGTAAGCACTGCTCAGCAATAACCCAAATGTCCCTGTGTTATCAACACAAATCGAAAACACAGCCCCATACAAGCTACCATGAAGAAATCTAACTCTATCCCAGCCAAAACCAGTACAGCAGCTCATTGAAAAGAGTAGAGATGTTTCCCCCTTTCAGTGTGCAGCATACAGACTGTATTTAAGTGCTGTATTACTGTCCCTGCTCAGTCTTCAGAGGTCTGGTTCTGGTGCATGTGCCATTACAAAGTTCCAGATCTATTTGAGCTTACCCAGGTCCGCTAAGCCCTTCAGATTGTCTTCAACCTATAAAGAAACCTCAAATTAATACGAAAGAGCATCACCTCCTTACCAGGATTTGGAAGAGTAATCCAGCCCGGCCAGCCACAGCTCTGGGGAAGCACGTGGCAGAATTCAGGATTTTTGCCACAGATGTCATTGCAGTAACTGGCTTCTCAAGCTGAGGAGGGTTAAAGGCGTTACGCATGCTGCAGAGGTCTGGAAGTATAGTTGTCCCCGCAAAGCTGTCTTGGAGCTTGCCTAGTGGGGACAATTGTCCTGACAGATGTGAGAGATTTTTCTGCCAGGAGTAATCACTATTAATTCACAAATTTAAATCATGTACAGGGCACACCCGTAGGAGGAATTGCACTGGAAAGGATATGTTAATTCTAGAGGGTTTGGCATTAATAGCACAATCATTTCACAGATTCAACTGGCATTTGCCAAGTGTGCTGAAGACATCAAAGCTGTCCATGAGCAGAGCGGGAGGGAGCAGGTCGCGTTGGAATGGACAGGCAGTGCGCTGGGCCATGTCGCTCTGTTGTTTTCCAGGGCTGGGAGAACCCAGGACGCTTGGTACGTGTGTGGCTGTCGTGAGCTCTTAGCTTGCTGACGCTAACTCCAGGTTAATCACAAAAATGAAAAGCTAATGACTGATTGCCTTGGAATGCTAATGCAGACAAAGGGAGGGGATAGATCTTGCTGAGAATGTGATGGGGTTTGTTCTTAATTCTATTGTTCATTCTTGGCACCAAGTTACAGTTGTCTATCTTAAAAATGGTTTAGAAGTTAATGTAGCAACTGGTTTAAAGCATCGTACAGCTGCTTCTGGCAAGGTAGGGTTCAGTTATCACTTTCACTAAGCACTGCCCATTTCCTACAGCTTCCTGTTCTCTAATTTTGAGAACTCTTTGGAATTCAAACTGCTAAAGAGAGTAATTAAGAGTTTAATTAAACTTTTAATTAGAATTAACCCTAATTAAAACTCTAAAGAGAATATTGTTAGAACTCTCCGGAAGCTAGAATTTACTGTCGTACATGCTGTCAACATGAAATGCTGGTTAAAATACCTTGCCTCCAATTTAAGGTTCTGAGCTATTTTCTGGTAAATACAGATGCTCTCTTTGCACTAATTCATTTGAAACACAGAAGTGGCAAGTACCTTTTTAAAAATATGTAATATTTTAAAGTAAATTTGCCACCAGCTACACTTCTTATTTTTTCTGCACTAGTTAAGATACTCTGTGTTAAACTAATCGATGATATTAGCTGGTATACGTTGCATCTGTGAGCATATGGACTTGTTTCAGATCTGTGGGGAAGGATCATTTAATGAAGTTGAGCTTGTCTGTATTTCAGTGGGGGCTTACCCAAGATCTTTAATATCTGCCTGTTCTGTGTTTTGTGGTGGGGTTTTTTTAACTACTGTTTTGTTTTCTTATGAACAGGAACATGATGGAGTGTTTCCAGCAGATCAATAGGATTCCCACGTGAGTACTTTTAGGTCCTGACCTCAGGTACTGAGTGTCCCCTTTAGCTGAGATTTTGCATTTCTATTATAACTGACAACAGTGGTCCGTATCTCACTGTTACCTCTGAAGCGTGAGTGTGTGCGTGTGTCCTTGTGAGCACGGGTGCTTGTTTGTCCAACTGGTATGTGCTAAGACCTTTTCTGTCTCAAAAACTGTTGAAAATGCAATGGGGGGAGGTTTTAAGTGATTGATCCTCAAGAACAGTGCCATTGATTACATTGTCATTAAAATCAGTCTAAGCAGGACTCTTGAGAACATCCCATTTCCTGTGTGCTCAAAACAATTTTAATATGCTACTAAGCAAGCATAGGTGCTTCAGAGGGGTTTGGATTGCTGAAGACAAGTTTATCAAGTCAGATCTTACATGGTACCCTGTTAGGCTACAACAGTTAGCTTTCCTCAGGATTTTGGAGGAAAAAATTCTGTTTGAAGTAGAAAACAACTTCTAAGGAATAGTAACGTATTCAAAACAAAACCCAAACCAACTGCTTGGTGCTCACAGAAATGAACACCTTAAATCTGATGTTGGAGATGGAATTTCACTGAGATGCATGATGTTCTGTGGCTGCCTGCACCAGGGAGGGTGTGAGGAGCCAAAGCCCACTGGTAGTGGCACTCTGTGCTTGCCCTGTTCTGCAGACTGCTGCTAGAGTGGCCCAAGGAAGCCTTGACACTGCCAAGCCACGCCAGAGCCCCTGTCTCAATTTGGGGAATCGGGGAAGGAGAGGAATTCTCCTTCTGGAACTGTAGTGTAGCTGATGGTTTGCAGGTGCCACAGGTTACAAATGTAAGGGAAGGAAAGTAGTTTCCTTGCTATTACCAAATGGATCAGAGGCTGTTCTGGTCCCCTTCCTTCCTTTCTCTGCCAAGCCCCCTGCGATGCCAGCTGCGAACACTTACTTGTTTGCCTGCCTGAAGACCAGAGGTGGTTCCAGCAGCTGTCACAGGTGCCAAAGGAGCAGGGCCGGCACTTCCACATGAAATGGAGCTGGCAGAGCAGAGCCAGCATGGCAGCCTCTGGCAGTGAGATGCCTGCCTTTGATTTAAAGTGCTGTTACACCATTCCTTTATCACTGCCAGCCACATAACAGAGGGTGGGGGACTGTAAAGAGAGGAAGGTCATTTAGGCTGTTGCTAAGGTGGGATCTTTATCCTGAACAGTGAGCTGCTGCCCTCTTTTTGTGCAAGGAAGAGTATTGCTTTCTGCTAGGACAGGAGTTCCCAAGCACGCTGCATCAGTATGGGGGGAAGGCTGAGGGGAACTCCTGGCAGGAGCAGAATTGGGCTGGTTGAGTGATCTGAAAATCTGTTGACTCCTCTCCCTCTCTAAAGCACCTGCTGTAAATTATTGGCCAGCTTGTCTGGAGCCCTGTGAACAGTCACTCTTTGCCTTTGCTTTTGCAGTGACCGGGTGATGGATGAGTTCTTGAACTGTGCAAAACAAACTAATTGCCCAGATGAGGCAATTAAGCTGGTAAAGCTGGCAGCATCCCTCGGTCTTCCTTCATCTCAAAGGCTTAAAAGCAGAACGGAGAAGGAATTTGAACTCTCTGAAAAGCAGAAGTAAGTTACAGTGCTTCATGTTACTGCTGAGGGGGTATAGCAGAACAGGGTGTTGGAGGGGTAATTGCTGTGGAAAGGCTTCTCCGCCAAGGTGGCAGAGAACTGCTTCAGAATGATGTGCCTTTGTGTTGACTTGGGTTGATTCACATCCCCAAAACAGCCCCTCGCTTTTTTGATTCCACGCTGTATCCATTCCACCCAGGAGGGAAGGTAACTTTCTGCGATGGAGTTTTAGCTTTACCCACCGCCCAGATCTGCTCTCACCTTTCTGCGGGTCTGCCCATCTAAAAGACCTGGATTGCAGGCGTATAAAAGCAGGGAAGTGGTACAGGATCGCCCTGCACGTGGCTCACGGGTTCTGAGGCTCATGTTCATCTCACTAGCCACTGCTGTTCGTTGCTGAGGTGATGCAGCTAAGCTCAGATGATGGGCTTAGCCCTGAGGACCACAGTTTGGAGCCAGAGGCTGGGCCAAGGGAGTGATTAAACAGAAGTCCAGCACCCTTGACAGCTGGCACACTGCTTTCTGGGTAACTGAAGTAGTTGCCTTTCCAAAAGGAGGTGGGTGTGCTTCCACCAAGTGCTGGCTGGACCTGTCTGTCTTTTGAGGGTAATAGGCATCAGCCCATAAAGTTCTCTTTTGAGGGGGTTTACCCTGTGGTTTGGATCTCTCTTTTCAAGCAAAAGTCACAACAGGTGACTGATTCTGGACTGTTTTACCTATGCAGGAAGACATTGGAGAGCATCCAGTCAGACAGCGACAGCAGCGACAGCGACAGTGACAGTGACCGTGACTAGCTGTACATCCAGTCAGACAGCGACAGCAGCGACAGTGACAGTGACCGTGACTAGCTGTCCCTCTTGGGAAAACCGGGAGCAACCGCTGCCTTGACGCCAAGAGGCTTCTGTGAGAAGGGAAATGGCTGCAGGGACGGCGTCTGGGAGGTGCTGCAGCACCGCTGAGCACGCCACAGCTTTCTGCTTGGCAAGAGTACGTTGTCCTCGTTGGAGCGCACTGGGAAGCTGTTCTCTTTCATCCTCTTGGTAACTTCAAACACAGCGTGGGCTACACCAGCACAGGCTCTTCCACACCACTACCTGCACGGGCTGGCTCCTGCACCGGATTCAATTCTTTTCCAGCTAACTTTAATGAACTACTTAAATATCAAGTTTACTCTGTATGTAAACACTGCAAGTAATGCAATGCTCATCACCTGTGGTGTTACTTCTCATCTTTTTTGGTGTTTTGTGACAGGCCTTGGACTGTAGATGTTAAAAAGTTACAATTTGTACAGCTGGAGACTGCATCTAATAAATGGCCGACACTACCTATGGCTGTATTCTGATAATCCCTGAGCAAAACCAAAGTTTTGCGGCTGCTCTGTGCGAGAGTGAAGGTCATGCAGAATACAGCAGTAAAGCTAATGAGGTAACGGGGAAGGTGGCTGATTGTGCTGTTGTGTGCTACGCCCTCATAGCAGTGCTGCTGTTCTCAGCTTGTACAGGAAGCTTGAAGGGTGGTTTGTTTGTGGGTTTTTTTAAGTAAGTAGTTGTCTTGAACAGGCAAAGAACAGTCTCATTCCTGACAGGAATAAATCATATTCCAGTGAAAAGTAGTGAACAGGTGATTCTCTTTCTGAAAAATAAAAGCTTGATGTACATGATGCTGCAGGAGAAGCAGGAGCACACTGCTGGGGAAAGCAGCTGAAGGATAACTCAGTAATGAGTTTGGGAAACAATGGCTGCTGGAGGTAGAATGAACGGCAGCTGAAAGGCTAAAAGTCCAGTGTTCCTTGTGTTATGGGAGTGGATGGGCAGCACCGCTGTGTGAAGGCGATGTTTGTCCTAGGAAGCAAACGTGCCTGTTCCAGCATTGCCTGAGTAGTACAGGTTAAGGTGTAGAGCAAAGATAAAGGGCTCTCAGGGGCAGCGCTATGCGCTGTGCTTTAGTGTACCAACAACTTAAACCTGGATCAGCAAGGAGACGAAGCCAGTTACTCATTTCAGCAAGTGGGTACTGAGCGAGTTTGATCAATCTGTCACTGAGGGTAAGACTTAAGGGAAGGGTAAGAGGAAGAAGGAACTTGGGCTCAGCTCCTTTGGTCTCCCTTCTCTTTGGCTGAACCAAAGCCTGGCTTCTGGAGAGAAATATCCAGTCCTCTACAGAGGAGCAGGTCTGAGAAGACAAAACATGCAGGGGTAGAAGTCCACCAGAGTAAGTTATGTCTGCTTAAACCTCTACTCATACATGGATTTGTTAATTTTTATTTTTTTTTACAACTATACAAATTAATGAACACACATTGATCACATCAATGACTTCTTCCTTGAAAGGAGTAAAAGAGAAAGAGGGTTTGTCTTCTTCAGGTCATGGAGAAAGGCTGTTCTTCTACTGCCCAGCTGTGTTTCATTTTTAGAGAGGAGACTGAACAGCAGGAAAAAGTGGTTGAAGGCTGGTTTTATTCAGCTGACAGAGTGGCAACTCATTAATGGTAGGTTACAAACATTATTTCAGTTGGATTGCAAGCCCGCTTGGTAAGATGGAGAAACAGAATTGTTACACAAATTGTAGAGAAGCTTCCTGAAGTTGGTTGTCATCATAACTCAAAACCAATACAAATACAACAGGTGGTAAAGTTAAATACAGTGCAAGGACACAAGACGGTACCCGTGCTTTGATTTAACGCTTCCAGCCCCTGCCAACAGCTCGGTTTGCACCCCTTAGGAGACTGAGGGATTTCACTCCCGCACAACCAGCTGCTGAACAGCCTCCAAAACTACACCCCTAGCTCACTGCACCTGAGTTGTTCCTAACCCTACAGCACTGGCGTACGCTGTCAGGATATCCACAATTTGTTTTGTTTCTAGGGTCATCCGAGCTTCGGTCAGCCAGTCGTGTGCCACTCTCCTGGACTCTCCTCTCAACTGGTTGACAAATTTCGCTGCCAGCTCCAGATCTCCGTGTTCAATGCAATACGAAGCGTAAGACAGTAATTTAAACGTATCGAGGTCGTCGGGGCTGAGCTCAGCAGGTGGCTTCAGCTGTTGAGGGTGAAACACAAGCAGCGACTGCAGGTAAGACAGGAAGTATTGATACAGGCTGTTTCTCGTTTCGTCGATCATAGCCACTCTTTTTGCCAGTTTTTGGACTGTGTAGAAACGCGCTCGGAGGGCCTCTTCACTGTATACTCCCCGCGTCAGAGACTCCTGAGGGAGAGCTGCTGTTAAGGCTTCCGTAAACGCGTTGTCAGAACAACTGGCTTTGATGGCCTTCACCGCGCTCTCCAGAGGTTCTGTGGGACTATCCCCAGAGGCTGTTCTCATGCAGTATTTGAGTGCTTCAACAGAAAGCCACAGCTGATGGGCCTTTCTGGCTTCCTCTTCTGCCACCGCATGACCTGCAAAATAAGCCAAGAAGGGGACTCTCAGTTGGGGACACATGTGCGGGAAGAATTTTGAACACCAGCAGCAAAACCCATCCCTCTAAACACTCTGCTCTCAAGAGCAGCTGCCCCCTGGGCATTTGATCTCAAAGCAAGTCTGTTCCGCAATTCGGGGTCGGAACAAGACGGCAGCATCGGACTCATGCTGCGGGGATTTGCTGGGTGCTCAGCAGTGTGACAAACCCTGGCCCATGAGCTAAAGCAGCCAGGTTTGGGTTAATGGGCCTTTAGTCCTTAAAGAAATGCAATTTCAGTGCTCACTCTCCACTGCTTGCTCAATTCCTTTCAGTCTGGCGTAGGCAGTGTTTATATCCAACGTGAAGTTGTCGAGCTGCTCCTGAGTAAGGCGTCTGAATTGCATTTCTTGTTCGCTGAGTTTCTCTGATAAGTTCTGAAACAGAGCAAGATACGTATATCAGACTAGAAACAGCTGTTTAATTATATTTACCTTATTTTTAAAATAAATTTATAGAAAGGTGGTGTTCTTGCTAGGGACAATGCGTATCATAAATATAATAGACCAGTAAGAAGCCTTATTAGGGTGAATTTAACAGTTACTCTACTTCTGTCATAAATTTCTCACCTATAGCAAAAGCTTTTAAGATAAGTCTGAATCAAAAGATACAAAGTATCTCTCCAAGGTGAGCAGGCTTCCCTCCCCAGCCCACACTTCATCTTCTAGAAGAAGGTTCAGGAGTCTCGTCCTGTGAAGCACGTGCTTTGCAAGGGGCCATATATCCCCGAGTCCCTTGAGGACTCTCTCCCGTACCTGCTCAAATTCCACCTTTAGTTCCTGCTCCTGGATCTTAAGAACATCTCTCAGGTGGTCTGTGTGGGCAGCAGCCTGCCGCCGGAGCTGGGTCCTCATTTCACTCTCCATCACCTCTCGGACTTCTTCAACCTGTACACACATGAGCGGCTGTTATTACACCGCTATTTTTCATCTGCTTGTCACACACTATGATTATATCATCCATCAGTGATTACCTGGGGTGCATTTTATAAAATAAGCGGCATTGATAGAGCCTGTTTCATTTTAAAGACTGTTGAGGTTCGTTTTTATAGCTGAGCCTGTTCCTAAAGCCTTGAAAGAACAGCTTCACAGTCCACACCACCAGTAACTGGTGGTTACACTCACTGGGCACTCAGTGCAGTTATCAAAATACTATATAAAAGATACAGCAACATGACAAACTCAACACCACGGTGTTATCAACCAGCTTCCAAACAGAACAGACTTTACCTTTTCCCAACATGCCGTAATTCTGTCAGAGTTAGCTTAACAAAAAGGTAATACCTATTTTACCTGATCCTGTACAAAACAGACACTCTGGAGAGGGCAGGTTTATTTAGGAGCAGTTGAAGAGTTTTTTGGTTTTCTGTTTGTTGGTGGTTTTTTTTAAGAATCGTGTCATTTCCAGCCTTCCATTAAATGCAAAGATGACAGTTCAAGCAGCTCTTGAAAAGAGCTCTAACTTAATTCCTGTTACTGCAGTGCTTTGAACTAACAGGTTATAGGTGAAAGTCTGTTTCCCTCATGTCAATACAAATTTTTCAACTAATGGCCAGCATTCAGTCTCATTTTCAGAGGCACATACATGAAAACAGCAGGAGTACCTGGCACAAGGGTCTACCTGCAACGTGATATCTTAAAAGATAAAACCTCCAGCACCCAAATTCCTAGATATGTAAGCTGCACTTGCTTCGTGTCCAAAGCAGCATTAAAATTCTGAGTTTTCTTAGTCCTTTTGAAAGAAACCGAATCCCAAACCACTGGCAAAGAGTGGAAGAACACAGAGATACCTGCTAGAGGCAGGCTGGAGGGATGCCATGACCTTAAGGTGGCCACAGTGGGTCAGACCAACCATTTCTTTTGACCCAGTAATCCTATCTCCAACAGCAGACAGGAAACATGAAAATGTCATTCCCTGTGTCGCTGTATGATTTTACCATTCTAACCGAGCATGGAAACTTCTGCTCAACATCTCCTTTCCAAGCTTATCCAGGGGGTTGCCCTATCTGAAGTCTCCCAGCACTCGGAACATCCCCACTGCTCTTCCGTGTGCCTCCTCTAGCTCCTCTGCATCCTTTTTCAGCCAGAGATCCAACCAGCTGTGTTACGCCACTTTACCTTCTTCTCCTGTTCTATTTCAATCTCACTTTTGTGATGCTCCAGCGCTTTGGCCACGGCTGCCTCAAATGCTTTTTTATCTTCAAGTTTCTGCTTCTCCAGGGCCGATTCGATGTGCTGCTGTTCCCTCACTCGCTGCTCCGCCAGCTCCTTGTTTAACTGGTCGATGCGACGATGGGCATGCGCAATGAGAGAATTTAGGTCGTCTGTCGACAACTGGTCAG